ACCCCCACCCCCACGCCCACCCACTCGACGAGATTGCAAAGGCGACGAGCCCTCCAACGAGTTGGCAAATTAGTGCACGCCAGCGTGTGCAGCGCCCTTCTTTCTTTTTGGGGCTCCATTCGTCGTCTTTGCAAGTGGCTGCAGTGGTCATGACGTGCGTCACGTTTGAGCTCCCCACTTGGGGGTCGTGCATCAGCTGACGATAAGTCATGAGAGACAGCAGGGGGCTCATCGGTATATGAAACCATATTTCTGGAAGGCGCTATTCTAGGTAGTTTTTCTTTTTCCCCCATCCCTCTTCTTTTTCTTCTTCGGCTGGCATTTTGCACATTTCAGTCATAGAAATAACACTTTAGATTTGTAATTATTGTTTTCTTTTTCTTTTTTTTTCTCAAATGAATCCAAACTGCTCGTATTTGAATATATGTGCCAACGTGGATTTGACATCTTGCATACGTGGGTTTTTATTCAATATAATAAGATCCGATATTCTTGTCGGGTTTTTTTTTTCGATCTTCATGTCATAATTCCAAATTCTTTCACAGCAGAAAACAAGCTCAATTGTTTTCATTTAAGTTGAACATTTTTGAATTCGTGAAAGCAACACATTTGAATTAAATGTGGGTTTTTTTCTCATTACACATCATTGTATGAATATGTCAGTTTTACGTATTCCAATATATTTTTTTCCCAATATCTCACGAAGCATAGACGATTTTTTTTTTTACATTTATTCTTTACAGGACCTGCATGACGTAACCCCCGCCTCCGGCCCCAAATAATATTTGTTTTGAATGCATCGTGCATTTTTATTTCACAATTTTAATTTCCACATATCACTTTTTCCCCTCTTTGTAATTTCAGGCATGGCACATGGAGGTGGAGTATTTCTAAACAGTAACAGTTTAATGTAGCGGAACATTACGGGGGACGGCGGAGGGTTGAAAAAAATGGGGTGTCCACATATTCATCAGATCTCCCTAAAATAGACAAACTGGGGTACTTCCATTTCAATGGTGGCCGTCGGTGCGAGCCCCCCCAAAATGTGTTGATATCAAACAAAGCAGGTCCCTGCACGTAATAAGCATCACCAAAATTATGTTCCTTGTGGCCGCAAAGTTTAGGGGTCCTGTTGTCGTATTTGGGGGCCGCCCCCCACCCCCTCCACGCAGGCTCACGCGTGAAAACCGACTCCAGCGCGCTGATTGGATTTTTATTCCTTCCTGACCTGGAAGTGCTCCGTGAGCGCGCCATCAATCTTTGGACTCGCACGACCAGAGGACAAAGCAAAGAAAACGACATGGCAGGACTTTTCAGTACAATTGTTGATTTGGCACCTGTGTTTTGATCTTATGTTTTGTTTTGATTGATCCTTTCCTGTCATTAAGGATTCAAGTATACGCATGACTTGCACACACTCACAACAAGTCTGTTGTGGCGATTGCGCGTCTCATGTTCTTGCGCAACTGTGAGTTTTAGGCTCACGAGCGTGTGAAGTTTGCCTACGTTTCCATATTTAAGGGGGAAAAAAATGCAGTCGGCCCAAATATAAACGTATTAATATTGTTAGTACTGTATTATTATTAAGACACCGATTGGTGAAAATGATGTCAATGCGCATTTATACGGACTGGCAAACAACTATTAAACGCAACCTAACAGTTTGTATATTGAGTTGTATTTTTTTTTAATTGTCATTACTATCACGCATGCTATATTATCATAACTGTGAAACTGTTAAATAAATTATTATACTGTGTGGAAAATAAAAGTACTCCAAAAAAGAAAAAGAAAGAAAGGAAACCGTCTGATTATGAATTGACCATATTCCCCATATTTTCTTTTCCAAATATGTTGTGCTCTTTGCCAAAATGAAGCTGTGCGAAATGTGAAAGCAACAACAAATAAATCCCATTATGACTTTAATTTGAAGGCAGACTTGTATGGCTGGTTTTCAGCGAAAGTGTGTCAAAATGTGACATTTTGCCCACGCATGCTGCCAGCCAGGCGGCATTCAACAACAGCGGGATTAAATATTTGACATTTTGTGTTTTGCTATTATAGTTCTACATTAACTGATGCTGTCATCACAAACGCCTTTGATTCACACGTACCCAAAACGTACAAGCTCCAAATTGTGCACAGTTCAACGTAAATTTGAGGAATTCCCCTCGAGGTTGTCTTTTAAAAGTGTACTTCATTTTTCCAAGGTTAAATATTGCTGTATCGTCATTTTAATTTGAAATATTAGATGGATATTGCAGTAATAGGATACTGGTGGCGCGGGGGGCTGGGGGGGCGGTGGGGTTTACAGGTCATACGTCTCATGCAGGCTATAGTGTAAAATACCACCAGCCTTGTATTGAAACCCTGCAAGAAACCAGTCTTCTAAAAACGTCTTAAGCTCACATAAAATGAACATTTATTAAACAAACAAGCAAAATCCTTCAAAAAAAAAATACTTATCAACATGTGAAGAATCTTTCAAATAGCATAGGACGATATACACGTTCCTTCGGTCACTAATATAATGGAACACTTTTTTAATTTTTTTTTTTGGGAGAGGGGGTTAAGTCAGTTTAGGAAACACTGTTTTGCGTGCGTGTGTGTGTGTGTGTGTGTGTGTGTGTGTGTGTGTGTGTGTGTGTGTGTGTGTGTGTGTGTGTGTGTGTGTGTGTGTGTGTGTGTGTGTTTGGTCCATAATATCCTGGCTACGGCTTGGAAATAAATTACTATATGCAAGATACACGTCCATGAAAAAAAGACATTTGAACATATGAAGCACAAAAAAAAAGAGAGCGACTTACGTGTTATTTGTGGTAACACTGTTTAGAAACATCAAGTCTTTTTGTTTGTTTGTTTGTGTTCTGTCTCCTATAAGTCCATTTTAGTGAGAATGGAATGGGAATGGGACTTTGGGACTGGATTGTGGGGGGGCTGTTTGGTGGTGAATCAGAACTTGCTGCAGTCATATACAAAAGCTCCCGAAGTGCGATAGATGGACTGGCTGGGCGGGAAGGACATCTGGCAGCTGTTATTCCCGTTCACCGGCGAGTTATTCAAGCCAATTCTCTGCGACTCGAACATTTCCCGCACCGAGTGGAAGTTCTGCTGCTGCGCGGCCGCCGCCGCCGCCGCCGCCGGATACGCGGCGCCCAGGTGGCCCAGGTCCCCGGCCTGGTTGAGGTACCATGAGGTCAGCCTGCCCTGGTGGGCGTGCGGGTGGCCCTCCTGGCCGGAGTTGAGGCCGCCGTGGCCCAGGGAGGCCGAGGTGGTGGTGGCCGAGTAGTCTGGGAGCGTCTCGTCCTGCACGGTGGTGCTGGGGGCGGCCAGGTGGCTCGCCCGCTCCCCGGCGTACAAGCTCATGGCCTGCATGTTGCAATGGTAGGTGGCGTTGGAGGTAGTGGAGATGGAGTTCTGGTTACAGGGGGAGCTGTACGCGGAGGTCGGACTCGGGGAGTAGCTGAGCGACAACGACGGGGCGATACCTGCTGTCCTTGAGGGGGGCAGCTCGGTGCCCCCTTGCGGGGACCCCCGAAGGGAGGTCATGATATTGTCCACGCTGAAGCCCTGCGCCGAGGCCTGGCCGTGGTGTTGGTGGTGATGGTGGTGGTGCTGGTGCTGCTGCTGCTGCTCCGCGGCCTCCATGCCCTGCACCATGGAGCGGTTGGACGGGATGCTGCTGTGCGGGCTCCCGCTGGACATGCTGCTGCTGTCCGGACTCTCGATCTTGGGCACGGCGCTCAAGGACGGCGAGTTGGCCTGCGGGGGTGTCACGGTGCCGTTCTCCGTCTTAATATCCTGGATCCGTACGGGCTGCGTGCCGGCCTGCTCCTGGTCCCGGGACTGCTGCTGCTGCTGCTGTCGGGGCGGCGCGTCCTTCTGCAGCCGGTCCTCTTTTTCCTTGAGCACGTCCTTCTTCTTGAAGCGCCGTCGCCTGCGCAGGAAGCTGCCGTTCTCGAACATGTTGTACGAGTCCGGGTCCAGGGTCCAATAGCTGCCCTTGCCGGGCTTCTTGTCGTCGCGCGGCACTTTGACAAAGCACTCGTTGAGAGACAAGTTGTGGCGGATGCTGTTCTGCCAACCTTGCTTGTTGTCCCGGTAGAAAGGGAACCGCTCCATGATGAACTGATAAATCCCGTTCAGGGTCACTTTTTTGTCGGGTGAGTTCTGGATGGCCATGGTGATAAGCGCGATGTAGCTGTACGGAGGCTTCACCATGTCTTTGGGCTGAGGCTGAGGGGTGTACGGTCCGTAGGCACGCGCCATGCCGGCCGGGTACTGGTCGTGCGCGGCGTGCGTGTACATGTTCATGGGCGCCGGCATGCCTGTGTATCCCCCGCCGGCCGCCGCTCGGTAGTAGCCCGGGTCGCCGCTGATGTACGGCACGACGCCCAGCGAGTTCGGGCTGGAGACGGAGTAGCGCGCCTGCATGGCTTCGGCTCCTCCAAAAAAAAACTTTGGTTCCTGTGCGCAAAAAAAAAACCCCGAATCGCGGCTCCTTTTTTTAATAATAAAAAAAGGAAGAAAAAAGAAAGCGTTGCGTGTTTTTAAGCCGTCCCCATCTCAGAGCGTTGAGAAAAGTTCTGGACTTTGGACATCCGTCACCACGCAGAACTTTTGCGCAGTTAAATTCTTTCCTCCTTTTTGCTGCCAGTGGAGCTCCTCCTCGCTCAGGGCCACCGGCGTCCAATGGGAAGTGTGGCAGCCCCCCGATAGGGAGCTGGGGGGCCAGCCCATTTCAGGCCCACGTCGAGTCACAACAACCCGATGAAGGAAGAGCGAGTTATCCTCTAAATGCGCAAATATCACTCAAATCTGTCATATGGTCGCCACAACTCATTTGTTTCTATTTGGTGGTCTCTTTAGTTTTCTTCTTTTTCATTTCAAGAAAGCAGATGGCTGCTGTTGGAGCGGTGACATCAAAGTCGCGACTGGGCTCATTAAGGGAAGGAATTAAAAGGCAAATTTGGGGCTGAGAGGTGTGAAGATTTGTTCAGGGTGGGCTTTAAAGGCAGGCTGCCAAATGGCGTTTTGTCATCAATGTTGAGACAAATGATCACTTGGGGTGAGGGTGGGGGGGGGTTCTCTTTTTAAGGAAACACTTGCATAACACACGCACACACATGCACACTAGCACGCACACAAACTCAACGTGATGCTTTTTAAGACTTCAGTGATGAGTGTGTTTCTTCAGTAACCCCGATCGGTCAAGATTTGCAATGTGTGAAAGTAATACAAAATAAAAATGAAACGATTGATCCCATCAAAAGGCTCTCGAATGCTCAGCGTGAAATCGTTCATGTGACTGTGAGGCAAAGTTACACTCCCGATATGAGTGTGTAAGCCTTTGCACGTCGTCTTTATTAAAATGTCCGCGCAGTGCTCGGACGGTTTCTCCTTACATGGACCCGGGCATGAACTTTTTCCACCGCCTCGGGGCTGTTTGCACACGCAGCCCACGATGCAGGGCCTTCGCCTTAATACCACGGCCTGCCCACCGGGCTGCCCCCCGCCCCACCGGCCACCTCCTGTACAATTGAGGCTATTCAGCGTAGTTAACCTTTTTTTGTGTTGTTTGCAATGGGACGGAAAATATGAAGGATTTTTACTGAACCATGCACAGGTTGTGTATAGGTGGTCCGACAGTCGACCGCAATCCCCCTGAAGACAATTCATTATGCATATTTATTTCACAAGTGTACAATCACAAATATGGAAATGTGGAGTAGTTGGATAGGATTTCAATGTGGCCTTGCATTGGGTTGACATTCTCTAGGTGTGAGGAATACAATCTTTAAGGCACTCACTATATTAATTTGAAAAGGGGCAAGAGGAACTAAAGTAATTACTTTGAATGTGGCTCCCTCTAGTGTATAGAAAGGGTACAGCAGAACAAAAGTTGCACAAGCCAGCAATTGGTTCCATACAGTGTCGCGCCGCTCTCTGCTTGGTTGGGGGACTTCTGGGACTTGTAAACGCTGACTTCAGAGTGCACGTTGAGTCACTTTTCTGGCTATAAGAGTCACGAAATATGTCACACGCATTCATTGCTAAAATATATTGGAGAGTGTTGAATGTCAGCATGTGTTGTACCCGTGTAGTAAAACACATTTATAAGCAATAGAAAGACAAACAGAAGTGTCTCTTGAGTGAGCACTCGTGCCAACTGCCTCCAGTGGGTTGGCAGTTCATGTGAGCGTGGTCAATGGAGGCATGGAACGCTTTTCCCCTCCCTGCGCATGTACATGGTTTGAACAGGAAATATTCAGAGTTGGCTATTTTAATCATGAAATCATCATAAATATTGGATTGAAAAAGAAAATCAATGTCAAGCACGGACCATGGAACTGAAACATCTTTTAATGGGATCATACGTTATTTTTCTTCCTCTTCACTTGCAGTGAAAAGATAACAGGGGGCGGCACTGCCTCGCTTGCCTTCTGTGACTGCACGCTCGTGTTGCATGTATGTACATTTGTATACGATATTTTAATATTTGGCATTAAGGTGGTATTTGGGGTAGTTTTTTTAGGTACTATTTGGTACAAAATATACATATAAAAAAAACAGAACCACTACTGTGGATGAATTAAAATAGTTTTTCGGTTTTTGTGTTTTGTGGGTTTTTTTCCCCCTCAAAAATTAATTTAAAAAAATACAGAAATATTGGCACCCGTATTTTGGAAAAACGCATTGTTTCATGTTGATGCACGAGAGAGAAGGTTTCCTTGCCTGCCCAACAAAGCGCTGACATGTCTCATAGGCTTCGTACACGCCCACTCAAACAAGGTGCGTGATTGGTACCCGGCGCGACATCAACCAATGAGAGCACAAATGGAGTTATCCCCGTGAGCTGATTGACTGAGTATCACCGCCAGTCTGTTGACTGTCTCGTACTGTATCCTAGGGTTGTGTTCACGATAACTTATTTTGTTTAAGCAATAACTTGTTTTTAATGACTTAAGCTGCGCTCCACCCCCTTGCCTCCGCCAAAACAATGCATCCCAGCTGTGTGGGAGCATGCTTGTCCCTCCACGGAGATGGCACCATCAACAGGGATACATTGCTTTAACGGCAGCGGCGGGGAGTTGGTTTCGCACCCTTGACCAGATAGCCTTATTTTGAAGGTCTCTCAACCCAGTCAGCTGATTTTTAGACACATCACAAGGAAGCCATGACACTGACTGCTCAGGTGAAGGTGGAAGAGACAGCTGAAACTGTCAGCTCGGTCAGAGTTTTTTTTCCTTTAAAAAACATTGTCTGATTAAAAAAAAAGAAACCTTAAACATATTTCAACGAATAAGAAGACAAGATGAACTTCATAGCGCTGCCCATCACCATGTTTTTCCTCCGACTTTCCTCAGCTACACCGTCAGCGCCTCCACCTTACAAGTCAAGCGAGAGTCGCCTTCGATGCCACCAACACAAGCCTCTTCACCTCTCTTAGAACGTAATGTTGATTAATGTTAATTACTACATAAGGTTTTCGAATTAAAGATTGAAGTAAATACCCATACCGCTATAATCTTTGTCGAAAATATGTAAAGTATAAATACCGTTTACATATTTTAAACATGCACCTACCTATCATGTTTCTTGCTTACATCAATGATCAGCCAGGCAATGACATTTAACCGGTCTGTTGTCAACTGCTTGTAGTCTCAAACATTGACCAACAGATGGTGCTAACATACTGTGGAACAGCTGTCAAATATCAAATTCCTCGGGTGGGAGGGTCCGGCACCAATTAACCGCGAAAAAGGAGGGATAACTGTTCTACATATCTACAGTGTGTATGAATGAGGTGAAACATTTGTAAGCAGAATAAAACTATCGCACATTCAAACTTGATTGGAATTAAAAACATTTTTAAATGACCTACAAATTATATCATTTCAAATATTCGATCAATGAGTGCATATTTAGAGGCCCTTCTATCTTTTTACGCACTGATGAGACAATGCTGCTAAATAGTGGTCATTTTGAGTACTACTACAGTTAGTGTTTTGAATGTCAAGGTGGGAGTCTTTTCTCCGTGAAGCTATTCAGCAGCAGATGAACAAAGAGAAGGTTCTGGCAGGTTCTTACCTCTTGACTGACCGCTCATCCTTCCATTATGTATCACATCGGCCAATGAACTCGCAAAGCAAGCAGTAGGAAACCTTCGATGTCAGTCAGGCCTCCAAAGCCTCCTAGAAGGAGTGCAAGTAATAATTCAGTGTAGTTTCAATGTATAAAGCAGCCATTTAATTGCATAGATGAGATAGACATGGACAAATGTTGAGACCTGAAATGAATAGATAAAGATCAGTTCAATGAAACACACACACACACACACACACACACACACACACACACACACACAAAAATGGTAAACTGGTAAAAGTCTGGCTTTTTTTGCGGTTGAACATATTTGTCTTTTTTATTATTATTATTTCAAATGGCCTGGACAAAAATGATGCTGGGGTACACAATACTCAATACTATGGATAAAAATAAGTCCACACACCTTTGTTGAAGTGCTATAAAAAAGTAAGACGAATAAAACATTTCTAAACAGTTACCACCACCCAAAAAAAATGAAAATTGACAACTGAGATCATGGGGTTGATTAAGTTTGCACACCCTCTTAATATTGTCATGTGGCTTTGTTCAAAATTAACTAATCACATTAAAAATCAACTGAAAAAAATGTTAATGTTTTATATATATATATATATATATAAATGTACACATTTGTTTAACCTACAGCACAATTTATTAAATATAATCACTCAACAAATGAATGTGTGTGTGAGTGTGAGTGAATGATCATGCAGTTAAGCACAAAATGAGTCATATCCTGGCCAAAATATTTGGAAAACACCAGGAATTTATATGAAATGCTTGAAATTTTCGGACTTTTTATATATTGAGAACTGACGGAAATATGCATCTCTCTGTTTTATCCAAAATGCAGCCAAAAACTCTTTCCAGTTGTCATTTCAGGCTCAAAATTTGATGACAAATAACATTCACTGTGACTTGAATGCGGATGCACTGGCACCTAAGTTGAAAAAAAAAAGTGCTGAATGCAATAATGGGCTGCCCCAATATGTCAAAATGGGAACTGAACCTCGATTTAACCCTTTCATGATGCACCAATAATAACCTGTAACCTGATAACATGATAGACTGTCCATTATAGTTACCGCTGTCCCTGAAAGGGGTATATACAGCCAGCCCGCGCCCACCTCCACACACACACACATTTTATATATATATATATATAGAGAGAGAGAGAGAGAGAGAGAGAGAGAGAGAGAGAGAGAGAGAGAGAGAGAGAGAGAGAGAGAGAGAAACATGCTAAGTTGATGACTTTCTTCTTCTTCATGGTTATGATTTGGGGTGAACCATGAATCTATGTACCCAATTTGTCATCATGGAAAGGACATGTGATTTATGATTGCTTGCATTAAATACACACTAGAGGGCAGCATTGACAAAACTGAGTGGCCAAGGAAAGCGCAACTTGGACTTACTTTTAAAAACCTAAAAAGGTAAAATTCCTGAAAGACAAAAGGAAATTATCGAGTTCTCCTCTTGAAAAAAAATAAATAAATAATGCAAACGGCATGTAGAGTGAATTGTTGAATGACGTATTGTTCACGTCGCGCAAGTAAAATTAGGAGACCACAACCAATCACACAATACAAGTTGGCTACAGGATTGTACAACCAATAATAATAATAAAGTAGAAGAAAATTAAGTTCTAATACCCTTTAAATGTTGTCTATAATAATAATACCGACAAACAGTTTAGATAAAACATTCCTTTAATGATTATTTTCAGCAATATTAAGTGCAAGGAGTAACAAATGTACAAGTGCGTCTCAATAATTGGAGATGGTATCAAAGTTGATTGTTTCACCAGTTCAATTCAACAACATAAACTTCGTTCGTTTGACAGATCCATCAGTCAAAAGAGGGGATGATACTTTTCATAATTGCGTACGAATTAAAAATCATTTTCAGTTGTAATTTCCTGAGATGGTGTATTTGTGGTTTTCATGAACGAAATTATTCAAATTTGAAATTATGATTTTTTTTTCACGCTCGGAGTTTCTCCTTTAAACGAGTTTCACGTTTTGAAGTGAACCACTGACGTTTACGACAGGAATGACAATGCTCTACTTTTGTTTTTCTTTCTGCACGTGCACCATCAGGTGTGCTGCCATCACATTGCCAAGAAAATGTCATACGGCCACTTAGAAAACGTTGATGTTGGATTGCAAAAACACCTTCGAGGGATCTTATTTACTTCGGTTTGGGGCGGGGGGGGGGGGGGGGGGATGGGCGTTCGGCTCCAAATGTCCCTCTTTACATGATACAAGGCTTGACGTCCTGATAGGCGCTCTGGTGATGGTGCAGCTGATGAGGAGGATGATGGTGGTGATGATGATGTGGATGATGATGATGATAATAAGACGCCCCGGTGCCCGAATGCAGAGGGGACATCCCGTTGAGGCTGAGAACCAAATCCTTTCTCTCGCACACTGCACCGGAGTGGCTGGAGTACCGAGACAGTCCAGCTGCAAACAAACACGACAAAGCAGCAAATTGATGAAAAAAGATAACAAAACTGGCATAATTTAGAACTCAATTACTCAAAATTATTATACGATTCAGTGAATAAAATATACACCAAGTCCATCGTTAATTAATATGCGGCTGCGTGGTTTACGTGTTATTTAGGATTTAATTTGAAACCTAGTTTGAAAGATTTTTTTTGGGGGGGGGGGGGGGGGATATGAACGTGGCGCCTTTTGTTTGCGTCTTTCAATAACATGGCAATATTACTATACCGAAGAAGTTACAAGACACGAAATGCTCATTTAAATGCAACACTAAATCAAAATTGCGAAACGTGAAATCGGGTCATGTTCGATGTGGTTGCGTAGGTTATTTAGTTTTGCAAGCGTGTATGTTATCGACATTTTCACGTCTGCAGGTATTACACTCTCACCCGCTGGGTCATACATAACCACATTTTGATTTTTAAAAATGGACCGATTTCATCTTGGATTAATCTGACTCTACTTTAGGTTGTTTTGATTAAAAAAAAATTAAAATTTGAAGAAAAAATGTTTTTGTACTCAACATCCCACAATGTTATATCAAAGTCACCCAAGTAGCCCGTCAGGTCTTTTTTTTTTTATTATTTTTGACACAGCAATTTTAAGGGGATCCATATTAAATATATTTTTAAAACATCATTTATGTGTTTGTTAGTCACTTACTTATGCCTGGCGAGAATGGTGTACATTTAAAGGTGATTTCGATTTTTTTTCACGCAAACGCCTACAAGAATAGATTTAAATGGAAAAACGAGGGTTAAATAACGGCAACCGCCTGCCCAAAAACGAATAAATTAATCATTTTCGGTAAAATGGTCACAAAAAAGGTAAATCATGGTAAAAAAAAAAAAAAAAAAAAGACCGGTTGAAACGGAGTTTGCATTAATTGCCTTTTAAAGCCCAAACACCTGCAATAAATAAAATTTTAGACTGGTGTAATTCATTTCGCAACTATAAACGGTTATTTTACCCAAACATCACACCATAATGGTCACGAGATCATAATTTGTGTTTCATGTTTCTAATAGCTCCGCGTGTGTGTGTGTGTGTGTGTATTTGGAGGGGGTGGGGGTGGGGGGTAATAAATAAGAATGATGGAGTACGGTCACAAAATCGGAGCTTGCGTCGCTTACCTGGAATGTCGGCCGAATCTCGTGCGTTATGATGCAGATAACTTTGATCCAGAGAATAGGACGCCATCCCGTGCGTGTGCAGACCGCCGGTACCGTTACTGGAGGCCACGGTCTGTTGTTTAAGATAAGGGGGGACCGCAGACGAACTCCAGTGGGGGGCCGCGTTGCCGTAAGGGGTTTGACAGTCCATGGAACCCACCACGGCCGGCGAGGACTGCAGCGAGCTGCCGCCGCTGTCCGTGCAGATGTAGTCCGCGTTGGGGGTCGCGGCCATGTACGGCGAGCCGGAGCCGGGGGACACGTGATGCCCCCCTGCCACCCCATCAAACCCACCGTGAGACATCGAATTGAAGTCTAAATTGTAGCCGTTGTGACACACTAACGGCCCCGCGGCGGTTTGGAAGTCGAACCCGATGCCGTTCATCATCCTGTACATGGGTTTCAACGTTTGGCATTTTCGACGGAAGCCGCGAGGTCTGCGTCGGAAGGATCCCTCCTCGAACATGAACTCGCTACCGGGGTCGATGGTCCAGTAGTGGCCCTTGCCGGGCCTGCCGAGGCCCTTGGGCAGCTTGATGAAACACTCGTTGAGCGACAGGTTGTGTCGGACCGAATTCTTCCATCCCTGGTAGGAGCCTCGGAAGAAGGTGAACCGCGCCTGCAGAAACTGGTAGATTTCGCTCAGAGTGAGGCGCTTGCTGGGTGAGCTCTGGATGGCCATGACGATGAGGGCGATGTACGAGTAGGGGGGCTTCTCCGGGCGCCTCAATCCCGAGTTGCCACGCTTGGCTTTAGCCGCTGCGTCGTGCGTAGTGGACGGCGGCATGGAGCGCACCACGCTCGGGTCCAAATGTCCGTGGGGGCTCTTGGTCGTCATGGTCACAATGTAAAACAAATCGATTAAGGGGGGGAAAAAAATCACCCTAGCTCAATTAGAAACATTGAAAAATGGCGTCTGAGGCATGAGAACCTCGAGCCTCGCCTCCTCTTCCTCGCCTCGGTCCATTGCAAAGACCAGCAAAGCCCGTGGATTTTGCTCCAACACCCACTCGACCACCTATCACTTCTCCAAATCTGCCTCTGCCCCTCTAACCCTTCGCAAGCCCTCCAAGAAATCCTCTGCAATTCAACTCCCTCCCATCTGGACATAATCCAGACTAGAAGCCGGACACAAGACTGTGGAGTGGAAGACCCCCCCCCCCCAACACACACACACTCCCTCTCCTCCATTCCCCCAGCCCCTTCACTTGTAGGAGCACAAGTGGACGCTAAACACATTTTTAAACAAGATACTCTGACCTTGCACGCAGATCTCAGCTTTTGGCTCAAATGAGATGTGCAGCTCCATAGTAGTGCTCTTTTGTTTTGGATCTCAACCAATTAGAAAGTGTTTTCCAACACACACACACGCACGCACGCACGCACGCACGCACGCACACACACACACACACACACACACACACACACACACACACACACACACACATACTTTCCCCACCCTTGAAATAAATATGCATTCAAGTGTACTGAAATGGTGATTCCCTAAATTTGTTAAAATAATTCAGAGCTTTGTATTGGGGTGCATTTGTTTGTTAGTTAGCAGGCTATTTCCCGTTTAATGGAGGATGAAGAACAGACAGCGGGTGTCAACATAGTCAGGCGGTTGAACATTTACAGCAGAATCATATTGACTCACATCGTTGGAAAATTTATAATGCACCATTCCATGTTACGGTTTTATGGTCATTGGCTTTGCATTCATTTGTCAGTGTCCTTCATGCTTTATGAGTTAAACAGACTGATGCAAAAAAGATATGGGCACGCAATTACTTTTGAAAATATACTTTACATTTTTTTATAAAGTATTTGCAAAAGTAATATTGCCTAATGATGCACAATAACTAAGTAATATGTAGTATAAAATGAATAGTACATCAAGGTTGGGCAACTTAAGTGCGGACTTGGCCAAAAACTTTCATCACTGCTACTGAGGGGCCTCGAAAGAGCACGCAGTTCTTAACCCGATGTATGACAAAAATGGCACTGTAAATACAGACAAAATATTTGTTCCGTTTATTTGTGATCATACACTTTTCAATGCATATATAAAAGATCCACTACTCAAAGCAAACAAAGGGTTTAAAGCAAACAACCAGATACCGTGACTTTATTTTTCCACTTTAAAGGGCTGTCTTGCACAAAACATACCATTCAAGGGCAGCACAAAACTGCTCAACAGCAAACCAACCTTAGGAACTCATTTGGCTGGCAACCAGTTGATGTCGGTATGATGTCAGCTGGAAGAGGTTCCAGCGTTCCAGCATGAGGAGAAACCCGTTTGGGAAATTGATGGGGGTGGGGGTGGGGGGGGGGTTCTTCTATGCGTACATCAGTGGCCATTTTATTAGCATCATCATTCCTTACGTTAATATGCATTGAGGAGCAATTTCAGGGACCTTTCACACAACAGGCAAGGAATAGAATTAATTGGATTCATGTTGATGTGCGCTATTTCTGTAGCTAATGGCACCTACAAGTTATTACAAGGACCATCAAGTGCAATTAAGTGTTACTCAACTTTGCCATGGAAACAAATAAAACAAACAACTTATCATTTTTATGTCAAGTCATTGTAATGAATTAAGACAGTTAAGTGCCCTGGCATAGGTGAATAAATCATTTAGAGCCTACGCAGGCAGAACTTATCTTTGGGGTCAATTTGACCCTATATGTTTAATGTCTCAAAACACTTTTTTTGGTTCACATTTCATGATTTTTCTTCATGCGGACAGCTCAGTAGTCATTCGTTCATAAAATTAACATGTTTTCAAACCTGTGCACATTGTACACGTCAGTGATATTTGTGTCCAATTGGAGCCTGGGCTGTTTTAGTTCCGTAAAACAGATCAGAAAGATAAACATTCTGTTTCGGAAGTTATCGATACCTTCCAAGGTTTTTTTTTTTTTCTTCAAAAAGATTTAGGGCCCTACAATGGAACGATAACAGTGCCACAACCACTAATAGCTCAGAAGTGACCAATCATTCAATCAAAGCCCACACATATACACATCTTTAATTTTTTTTTTTCATAATTTAAATGACAACATGAGAAGGTTTATAAAATGTAACAAAAATGCTCAAGCAAGTCAAGAAATTATGACCAAATAATATGTACTGGAATTACAAAATAAACTGTGTGTGTGTATGTGTGTGTGTGGGGGGGGGGGCACACGAAAATCATCAATTAGGCAGAAGATCGACTATTGTTTGGTCAATTGCTTTCAGTCCATCACCTCACCAGTGCATATGATTTAGGTTTGGTGAGGAAGGCATATGAGCATGGGTCCCAAAATGTGATTCTCGTGAGCGATCATCAAAGGCACCATGAGAAATTATCCAATTTGTAGTTTTTCAAAAATTGCATTTATTAATTTACAATAAACGTCCTTGTGTTTCCATGCTTGGGCCGTATGTCAGGTAAAACAATTCAATGATTTTCCACTAGATGGCAGAAAGCACAATTAACCTGTTGCCATTCAACACAACAGAACAATTGCGTTTTTAAACAGGCCAGCTTTCACATTGAATCAATAAATATGAGTTCATTTGGACAAGCTCGCCATGACTTCAGTTTATACTTTTTCCCCCCTCATGTAAAATATGCGCTCAGTAAACTTTGGGAAACACTGCGACCGACCGATGGAGGGTTCAAAGTTTGTTGGAGAAGCCGGCAAGTTGGCGCATGCGCAGCTCCAAGGTTGGCGAGGCCACTCGGGAGCACGTAAAGCGGCGACACAGGTGGATCGAAACGCGGCATCATGACGACGGCGTAGCCTTGGACGTGGTTCGAGTCCCGTCTGAACGGCGTGCTGAGGATGTTGTCTATCGTGAAGGAACTCGAGAACTTTTTCGCCGCGATCGGCGGCGCGTCCTCGCAGCTGCTTTTCTCCTCCTCCTCCTTCTGTTTGCCGAGGCGGATGCTGATGCGCTTTCGCCTGCGCCTGAACACGCCGTCGGCGAACGTGTACTCGCTGTGCGGGTTGAGCATCCAGAAGTTGTCCTTCCCCCACGGCCGGGACGGGTCCCGGAGCACCTTGTGGAAACAGTCGTTGAGCGACAGGTTGTGGCGCACAGAGTTCCTCCAGCCCGTGTAGGTGCCGCGGAAGAAGGGAAACTTGTTCATGAGATATTCGTTGATTTCGGCCAAGGTCAGGCGTCCGTGCGGCGAGTCCCGGATGGCCATGGCGATGAGGGCGATGTACGAGAACGGCGGTTTGGGTCTGCGCATGTACGGCTTCGATTTGCCGGCGAGGGGACTGTGCGCCGCGCAGTCCCCATCCGAGCCCAACTCCTCGCACTCCCTCGGCTCTGGCGGCCTGGCGGTGGTCTCGAGGAAGTTCAGGCTGTGGTGTTTCCCGCACACGACCCCAAGCTTCATTTTTTTACCCCACCTGAGCCAATGGCGTCTCGAAGTTCCCGTGCGTAAAAATGTGCCAATTGCTTCCAGTGGCTGTACCTTTGCGATGTACGTTCTCACCTTCAACCTGTTTGAGCAACACTTTATAGTTTACCTCGGGGACAACCCAAAAGGGCGGGGCTTGTGATTCCTTGTAACGGCGTTTCCCATCCTTTGAGTCAAGGCACATTTTTACATGAGAAAAAAAAATTCCACGGAACAACAGCAGACAAAATGTCAGAAAAACTACATGTCACGTCTGGCGTTCAGTGGAAGAGCATTCATTCTCTTACCTGTCACAATACATCACAGGCGCTGATAAATCAAAGTTACTTGTAATTAAATCTTCAGACCAATGAAGCAAAATTGGACAATTTCCCACAGCACACCTGATGGTCTCTTACAGCACGCTAATGTGTCACTGCCTTCAATGTTTTGTACATTACTGTACACTGTAGTATACTTTTGATCTCCAGAAACCCCATAGAATGCAGGGCTTTTGCTAGGGCTACACAAGAGGGGCTATGGCCCCCCACACACTCCACCACCCCAAAAAAGAGCAAAACAAAAAAAAAACGATGCAAAAGCCGATTGCTTATTAACTAGAATCACATGACATGTGCAACAAATAATGGATGGAAAATAAACACAACCCAGTTAAAACATCAAAAATTAAATAAATGAAGCCCAAGGCCATTGCCGGTGTCGTATGACTTCTTGCTGAATCTCAACATACATAATGCCAGTGGAACCACACCTGTGGAAATATGATGTGCTATTACACTCTTTTTGCCCATATCCGCACTTGAATCTCCACTTGTTGAGCCTACGCGGCCTTCCTGTAGGTCCAATCTCCTTCTGCGCTCAGTGCCATTACATCATCATCGTCCAACAACAAGAAACTTTGAGTGATGCATTTCTCTTCCTAATTTAACCACCTTGACTTGCAAAGCAACCATGAGTCGCAAATCTGGAATAGGTGGAGAACACAGTAGTAGAGGGAGCGAGGCCTTGGCTAATTTTTACTTGTCTCGTAACTACGTCGCAGTCGCAAACTCTTCTCATGATTTATTTATCCGTTGTTACACAAACACTCAACACAACCAGTTGCTCCGCTCTCTGTCCGGCAACACCGCGAGTTTCTCAAAGCTTGCTAATTGGCTATTGTTACGTTGGACGGCACAATCACTCAAACCTCAATTTTGACCACACACAAAAGGATTTCCAAGCGTAAACAGTGAATGGGTTTAACATTTGCGATTGTCCGCCCCAACTATTATCCAAGGAGATTAGGTAATCGTTCCTAACACACCCTGTAGCGCAAGAGAACCGGTCAGGATAATCTTATCGAGGTATGTGATGATCAGGCCTCTGCTGACTTGCACGTTTGTATTGCTGCAGTGTACCGAGAACTCTTTCAAAAACGTTGGGCTCCCCATTTCACGATATACTGTATAGCAACACCACGGCATTCTATGACAACGATAACTTAAATGGAGTCTTCTCATTCTTGTAAATTCAAATGTGTTATCGCAGTGGTTTTCACACTGAGGTTCCCAGACTCCTGTGGGGTCCACAAGCCGGACCTTGGGGGTCCGCAATCAACTATTATGCTGTATTTTTTTTTTTTTTGTAAGTGCATACTTCCAAAAAACGGCATGCCAATAAAAAAAAAAACATTCACATCCATTTCAACGACAACAAAATCATATTTTTTTTAGAGCGAATACAGGCATATTTTCCATAATAAAAAACATATTATAAGACTATGGTTGTATTTTTGAGATCCACTCAAAATGTTTTTCGTCCCTCCTTTAAGATTATGACTGTGTTCCCACAAGATGACACCCCCCCCCGCAAAAAATTTAATTGCAACTTTTTTTTTTCTTGAAAATAGGCAACTTTTAATTCTACTGGCATAAACGGGTACACAGGTTTAAACAAACATGATCAACCGGAGTGAAAAATTCTGTCCTTTAACTCCACGTGGGAGAGGGTGGGGGGGGGGGATATCAGTCTGGAGTAGCTTGCACGCACTTGTGGCTCCTCTTGTAACAAAGTGTTGATTTGTTTTTTCTGATTACAGTTTCCTGTCTGGCTTTCGCTCAAGATCCAAGTGTCATTTTGACAGGCATTATGCAAATAATTAAAGAAAGAAAAAAAAATCTTCCTCACTGCCAGCTAAAGGGCTGCAGAAAACAGGACCAAAACGACTTGATTACCATCAGCCATTAAAGTAATCGCTCAACCGAGATGTCTGCACATTTGAAAGTAGTATTCAGATATAATTTAATTGTGGGTTTGGAAGCTTGGAAGGACATGAATTATGGAAACGCCTGTACCTTGACTCTACAAACATTTTAATAGGCAAAGCCACAAACTAGATCCCCGTTTTGAGCATGGACATCATCCACAAATGCAAAAATACTTTTTAAGCATTGGCGATGTGCCGTCAGCTGAATAACCATGTTAAGCAATTCTGGGACGTCGAAATGTAAAACACACCCCAATAATCATCGATGAACTCTCAGACAGTCGCGCAAGTTCAAGCTGCGTTTGCCGCACTCGACTTGAATGCAGTCATCCAGCCTTGCAAGGCGACTGATCTCGGCCGTGACTCAGGCGGCCTCACAAAACGCAATTTTGAAAATCAGCTCTCCCTTGGATGTGCTGCGGCTGTTTAAGGTGCAAAATACTTGAGTCCTGCAGCGGTGGCTTGAAGGGCAAGTTCAAAGTTGGTATTTGCTCGGTGACGTGTTTTTTGCGTAAAAAAAAAAAAAAAACAAAAAAAAACAAAAAAGGCCCTAAAACTAAACCCGCCGATAATTCAGAAATGTGACAGCTTTCACTAATTTCCCAAGTGGTTTTGTATTCATCCTTGCGTTTTATCACCATTGGAGCGAGTATGAAATTGCTGTCTGAATTTAAAACATCTCATCCGTATCACCAATACAATTTGGGTCATAATAAATTGCATCTTTTGGTGTGGACAAATCCACTTTTTCTCGATCAGGCCCGTCATTTTCGCCAAAGGGAATAATACTGTCATCGCAAGAACGATTTCAATGGACGTACGCGCAACCAGTCAAAAGTTTGAAAACGCCGACAAATTGAAATGTTTGCAAACACATGGAGAGGTTCGGAAATTCAAGCTTTGAGCTCTTAAGAATGCACAGCTGTGAACTCCAGGTCAGTGCGGGTCATAAAACATCGGCCACATCGTAGAAATGCCGAGATGTGCAAAGCTGTTCACTGGGCAAAAGGTGCCTACTTTGAAGAATCCAAATTATAAAACTTCTTTTGGTTGGATTCACATTTTGTGTGTGTGTGTGTGTGGGGGGGGGGGGGCTTCCCCAAATAATTCTATCCATGTTTCATCCTAAATGCTGATGACTTAGGCATTCATCGACAATTCAGAACATCTTTACCAACCCTTTGACTTGTACCGTATAATCACCTCATTATGTTAACACAGTTGCAAAAATCCAAATAGTGCCAACCCAAATATAAATACTGTTTTTCATTTTATGCTTTGATTTTTTTTTTTGTATCTTGTAAAAAGTGAAAAAAAATGTGCCATTTTGGTGTGGGATTGTAAAAATGAAAAGAACAAATCTACAGAGCCCCAGACATTACATTAAAAAAAAAATGTGCGCACTACTTTTTTTGTGCACGCTAATTATCATTTTGTGCGCACGTTCTAACATGTTGTGCACACGATGTCGTAGTGCACGCCCGCAAAGCAGTCCGTGCCCACAAGGTCGTTCCCCGTGTGAACGTCATAGTTACAGCGTGTGCACAAATTAGTTTATTTATTCTTTTGCTATGTCATGTCTGGGGCTCGGTACAAATGTATCGAGCAGGAAACAAAAGATTAAATTTGCTTTTGTGGGCTACGAAAAAAAAAAAATAATAATAAAATAAAAAAAATATCATATGAGTCGGAGCTTCCTTGTGTTTCACGCGTGCTCTGGTTGCAATCATTGGACGAAAGACGCGTCCAACATGAAAACGGGACTAATCCGAATCATCTTTCGTGGCCAAGTATGGGAAACACACAAGGAATTTGTCCCGGCTATGCGGCAAAGCCCCACAGAAGCATTTAAATGTACTTTGCACGATCGATCACGGCATGCCCTTTGTAATTATACGGAAAAGCATTTGTATGGCGCAACGCATTTCAGTCATGTAAACCTTTTGCAGCAGATTGCGCACGGTATCTAGAAATAACCTTGGAAAAGACGTCTATACCGACGTACGTGCGCGCTGGAGTTTGCCTAAGTCCCGCTCGCTGTCTACACAAACAAAAGTTGTGTGCGTGTGAGGCGGCCGTTAGTCGGTGGGGGGTTCGGGATGATTTCCAGATGATTAGGCCTCGGCAAACATAAACAGGAGCCTCAGCATCCAGGATGCATTCAAAAGGATCAAAATAAAAACACAATACGATGGTCGTTTCAAACGCTGCGCGTTGCTATTTTTGAAAATCGGCCACTCAGGCCGATTATGCACAAACATGTCATCACGGGAGGCCTTAAACGCATTTGGACGCAAGTTCTTGCTTGTGCGGTAATTTCAGTCCTGATGTACACTCCCGCACGCGGCGTGACAGCAAACTCCTCGCGTTCTGTCGGAGCAAATTGTGCAAGCTCAGCCGTCGCGCCCTGCCCCTGTAATATTCTCAACTACAGGCCGTCTATTTCAAGACGACCATTCCTTTATATCTTGCCAAAAGCAGACAGGAAAAAATGATGTGAAGAAATCGGACTTTTTCCCCCTCATGGGACATCAGTGCAGATTGTTACTTTACTTTATCCATTTTCTGATCCGCTTAATCCTCACAAAGGTCCCGGGGGGTGCTGGAGCCTATCCCAGCCGTCTTCGGGCAGTAGGCGGGGGACACCCTGAACCAGTTGCCAACCAATCGCAGGGCACACAGAGACGAACAACCATTTGCGCTCACAATCACACCAAGGGACAATTTTGAGTGTTCCATTCACCTGCCATGCATGTTTTTGGAATGTGGGAGGAAACCGGAGTACCCGGAGAAAACCCACGCAGGCCCGGGGAGAACATGCAAACT